TGTGAGCAGGTTTGGTTTGTGTGAAGCCTCTCTCCTTGGCTTGTGGGTGGCTGCCATCTTGCTTTATCCTCATATGGCCTTTTACCTTTGGTGCCCATCCCTGGTGTCTCTCCCTCTTCTTATGAGGACCCCAGTCATATTGGATTAGGGTCCACCCATATGACCTCTTTTAGCCCTAATTAAGGGCCAGATCTCCAAATGTGGTCACATTAGGGGTTGGAGCTTCAACATATGAATCTTGGGAACACAGTTCAGCATAACAGGTAGATAAAGATGGATTTTTTTAGAAAGTGGCAATGCTTTCCTTGTTATTGTTAAACTTTTGTTTATAGGCTCCAGGCAAGTGCTTGCTTTTTTTTTTTTAATTTTTTATGGTTATGTTAATCACCATATATTACATCATTTGTTTTGGTGTAGTGTTCCATGATTCATTGTTTGTTCATAACACCCAGTGCTCCATGCAGAATGTGCCCTCTTTAATACCCATCACCAGGCTAACCCATCCCCCTACCCTCCTCCCTTCTAGAACCCTCAGTTTGTTTTTCAGAGTCCATCATCTCTCCTGGTTCGTCTCCCCCTCTGACTTACTCCCCTTCATTCTTCCTCTCCTACTATCTTCTTCTTTTTCTTTTTTCTTAAAATATGTTGCGTTATTTGTTTCAGAAGTACAGATCTGTGATTCAACAGTCTTGCACAATTCACAGCGCTCACCGTAGCACATACCTTCCCCAATGTCTATCACCCAGCCACCCCATCCCTCCCACCCCCGACCACTCCAGCAACCCTCAGTTTGTTCCTGAGATTAAGAATTCCTCATATCAGTGAGGTCATATGATACATGTCTTTCTCTGATTGACTTATTTCACTAAGCATAACACCCTCCAGTTCCATCCACGTTGTTGCAAATGGCAAGATCTCATTCCTTTTGATGGCTGCATAATATTCCATTGTGTATATATACCACACCTTCTTTATCCATTCATCTGTTGATGGACATCTTGGCTCTTTCCACAGTTTGGCTATTGTGGACATTGCTGCTACAAACATTGGGGTAAGTGCTTGCTTTTTTTTATGTTTTATTATATTTATGTATACACCGTTATATATTTATGTTTATATATTATTATATAATTATCTATATTTTATTATATATGTATATATGCATATATAATATGTATTATATATAATTATATATATATATAAAGCTATATATATTATAGCTTTCATCCCTAAAGTCTGATAGTTTGTACTTTTTTTTTTTTTCGGACCCTGCTTAGCTTCCGAGATCAGACGGGATCCGGCGCCTTCAGGCTGGTACAGCCGTAGACCAGTTTGTACTTTCTTTACAACTTTCTTTTCCACCTAATGGTGGGAACCTAATTATATTATTATATAATTAGATATATCTTATTATATATGTATACATGCATAAATAAATTATATATATATATATAAAGTTATATATATTATAGCTTTCATCCCTAAAGTCTGATAGGCAGTTTGTACTTTCTTTACAACTTTCTTTCTTTTTTTTTTCTTTCTTTTCTACCTAATGAAATGTCAAATACTTCATAGAAATTTTCCATACCTTGTCTTAGTCGAAAATGAAGTTTGTGGGAAAAGAAGGCAAATGAAATTCATCCAATTCTTTTTCAAGTAGACCCAGGGAAATGACATTGTTCCTGCTTCCCTAAGAATTCTTTTGAGCAAGTTGCTCTGAAATGCTTTTAAAAGGAGATGAATTAAAAAATTTTACAACAACTAGTCTTGTAGTAAAGATAGGTTAAAAAAAAGAGAAAGAAATATTGATATTTTTTACCGTAAGTCAAATAGTTTCACAACTATTTCTCTCAGGAAATTTTCAAAATATTTACTTCTTCATAGAAGATTCTGACAAAGTAAATGCAATGAGTTTTTTAAAGGTTAGATTTGGGTTTATCCCTCAATTGGTCCCTCTTTAAACTTTCTGATATGATTGTGACTTTATGAATATATATCATATATAACCTACTTTACCCTCTATATTCAGAGATAAAACTACTGATAGCTTATTATCTGATGTATCACTTCAGGCTAGGTTTGGCTGTGAGTTCAAAAGACCTGAAAAAAAAAGTAGGTGACACCGGACAGGAAAATTTTCATTTCCTCATGTTAATCAGCCCAGAGAAAGAATGTCCAGGACTGAGGTGCTGCTGCAGCCACAGGAAACCCAGGCTTTTTCCAAAGAAAAAAAGCTTCTCTTATAGTCTAAGGTGGCTGCAAGAACCCTAGTCATCTCAGCTGAGTTCCAACCAGAAATATGAATGAAGGCTGAATCTTCTCCTCTAAAGAGCACTCGGGAATTTCCACTGACTTCCAGTGAAATTTCACTGGTCAGAACTTGCAGCTTATCCAGAATAAATTCAGAGCTCTGTTGCTAAGAAAGATGGGGCGAGCAGGGGCCAGTGGCCACAGAGACTGCCAGCCGCTGTGCCCATCATGCACAGGCCACAGCTGCTCAGGGGGGCGTTGAACTGCAGGAACTGTAGTCTCCTTGCTCTGGAAGACAGAGGCCTGGACGGCTTGAGAGCAATGACGGTACTAATAAATCCAGAAAACGGGTGAGCAGTGCTCTGCTGGTCTGTGCAGCATTTTCATACCTGTTATCTCAGTCCTCGTAAGGCACTTCGGAGGTAAACATGATCCCAGTGACCTGAATACTCATAATTACTTTGTAAATTACCTAAAACGATATAGCCCATAAAAGATGAGGCTCCTGTGCCAGGATCTGACTTAAAACTCCATGTGTCATCTGCCGGACCAGGCTGCCTTGACGTGCCTGATTGTACCCCTGCACCCGCTGCACCCCGCCGCGCCGAGTCACAGGGAGCCCGGGCGCCAGGCTGGACCAGTCCCTCTGGATGCTGGGATCTGTTCACCCTCTCTCCCCCACTGGTACGGTAGCCTCAAGTATTACACGCTTCTCTGCTATTCCCAACTCCCTTCCAGATGATCTTCTAGAACGCAAACCCAGGCACATCACTCACCTCCTTAAAAACCTGCTAAGGCTATTGTGGACATTGCTGCTATAAACATTGGGGTGCACTCCCCTCCCCTCTAGAACCCTCAGTTTGTTTTTCAGAGTCCATCATCTCTCATGGTTCATCTCCCTCTCTGATTTACCCCCCTTCATTCTTCCCCTCCTGCTATCTTCGTCTTCTTTTTTTTCTTAACATATATTGCATTATTTGTTTCAGAGGTACAGATCTGTGATTCAACAGTCTTGCACAATTCACAGCGCTCACCGTAGCACATACCCTCCCCAATGTCTATCGCCCAGCCACCCCATCCCTCCCACCCCACCCCCACTCCAGCAACCCTCAGTTTGTTTCCTGAGATTAAGAATTCCTCATATCAGTGAGGTCATATGATACATGTCTTTCTCTGATTTATTTCACTCAGCATAACACCCTCCAGTTCCATCCACGTCGTTGCAAATGGCAAGATCTCATTCCTTCTGATGGCTGCATAAAATTCCATTGTGTATATATACCACCTCTTCTTTATCCATTCATCTTTTGATGGACATCTTGGCTCTTTCCACAGTTTGGGGGGGATGGGTTAGCCTGGTGATGGGTATTAAAGAGGGCACGTTCGTGTGGAGCACTGGGTGTTATGCACAAACAATGAATCATGGAACACTACATCAAAAACTAATGATGTAATAATGTATGGTGATTAACATAACAATAAAAAAATAAAAATAAAATAAAAAAATCTGTTAAGGTTCCTCTTGCCTTTAGGATCACTTCAGCTTCTGTGGCCAATCCTTCACAACTGGAGCTCACTGTCCTCTAGTTTCAGTGGCAATCTTCTCGCTTTCGGGTTTCCGGCAAATTTGGGCGACATCCCTTGACCAGATGGTTCCACTCCCTCTCTATCTCTATCCTTGCTGCTTCTTCTGCTGTCTGGCCCCTCTTCATCCTTCAGAGCTCAGTCCACACCTCGCCCCCGCTGGGAAGCCCCTGGCCCAACAAAGCCCTGCTAGGTGCCCTGACGGGATGCTCAGCTCCGTGTTGCATTTTTTTGTGTCTCATCCATCTCCCCAGCTAAACGGCTAAACCTGGAGGGTGAGGCCTTAAACATGTCTTTTTGTTCTGATGCTTTGACATCTGGGACCTTGCAGCCCCTGCAGAGGCTGCCCCTCCCAGGACTAGCCAATTCCTAGAGATAGTGAAGACTGGCCCATGAGCATACCCTTTACACTCAGACCTGCCCAGCGACACCCCCCCACCCCCACTGCCTCCTTTATCAAGCTGTCACACTCTGAGTCACTCTTCCTCTGCCCTAATCACCTCGGCTCAGACAACTCCAGGCAACCCTTGTGCCCCAGAATCCACTGAAATTATTCAAGTTAGTCAGTCCTAGACTGCTTACCTGTTTCTTCCCACAGAGATGGCAATCAAGTCTCTCGCCCACCTTTCCCCCCACATCCCTTGCCTTGTGAGTGACCCTGGTGCTTCCCCATGGGGCTCTGCATGTCATGGCATGCCCCCTCTTCTTGGGAACCGTGAGTAGGAAATTATCTTCTCAGTGACAGTCACCAGCAAATCTGTTGGCCGCACCATACCTGGATAATTATAAAACCTGCATTTGAAACTGGGAATGGCCTCTGTCTCATCCACCACGGTGATCTAATGCCCACTCAGTGCTTGACATGGAATAGGGGCATCGTATTGGCTTGCTAAGATGGGATAAAGAAGGGGGAGTGAGTAGTTCAGTTTGGGAGGATATCCAGGCAGGATTCCTTAGGGGGTGTCATTTGAGTGGGGCTTGACAGAGAAGCAGGGTTTCACGGAGTGCAGGGGAGTGGGCAGGACATTTGAGTGGGGTCAAGAGCAGCTGCCTCTGGCTGGTGGTGCTGCCTGCCCTGCCCCCTCCCTTCGTGGTCTCCATGCCTTGACACCTTGGCTTCTGGTCCCCTCCCCGGAGGACTCCCTGACCATTCAAACCACGTAAAAGTGCCCAACCACGTGGATTTTCATAGCACTTTGTCACTCCCTTCTTAGGACCAAGAACAATTTGTGATTTTACATTTACTTGTGTAATTTGATGACTGTGCCTGCCTTCATGAGATTGTCAGCTCAGGGAGAGGAAGGGCTCTCTTTTTGTTCATTATGGCATCTCTGTCCTTCCCAAGATACTTCTTCCAGTAAAGGTGCAATAAATATTTGCTGGGTAGAGGAAAGCATGGCTGAATCCGGGAAAGAGAGAGCATTTTGGAATGGCTGAACCATGTGCTAGAGGAGAACCTGGACCTGGCTGGGTAGCTGCTCGGGGTTCCAGTCCTGCAGCCCATGTTTCGTGCTTCGGAACCAACCGTTATACAGAGAGAAGATAAGACAGAGGAAGGTGAACACGAACCAAGGTGAAGAGGTGGGAGTGCCTCAGAAACAGGGTGACGCCTACGGGGGGAGTAGGTTTCAATAGCTCAGACTGCATGGCAGGAAGCTAAGGTCAAACTCCTTCAGATTATCTGCCCAGTTCCCCTGTTCCCGCCTCGACTCCACTGCCATGGAGGAGCCAGACCGTGCACCAGCTTCCCGGGGTCCAGGGATGGGCGACGCCCTCTCCGAATCCCGGCACCTGCCCCTTTCCAGCCCACAGCCATTTCTCCCTAGCCCTCCTTTTCTTTTTCTTTCTTTCTTTCTTTCTTTCTTTCTTTCTTTCTTTCTTTCTTTTTCTCTTTCTTTCTTTCTTTCTTTCTTTTTCTCTTTCTTTCTTTCTTTCTTTCTTTCTTTCTTTCTTTCTTTTTCTCTTTCTTTCTTTCTTTCTCTTTCTCTTTCTTTCTTTCTTTTTTCTTTTATTTTCCTTTTTATTTTTTTAGCCAGAGAAGAAAAAGCTAGTGCTTTCCAAGAAAAGTGCAGTACATTCAAGAAAAACACATACAAGCAAAATGTAGAGCCATTTTTTTTATGATGGCTCATTTGCAAAGCTAAATTGTCAGACTCTTTTAATAGAATCCATCATATGTATGCATATTGCTATATAGAGTTCTTATGTTATTAGGTTTTACGCATGGACACTGTGAAAGGGAGAGAATATGATCCTGATTTTTCTATTTGTGATTTAAAAAAAATAATGGCAAAGAAAACAAAGGGCAGAGTCTTGAATTCTCAAGTCCTTAATTAAACACACACACAAATACACACACACACACACACACACACACATGCAGACACAGGACACATGAATCCACCATCCTCGGTATGAAGAAAGGCCAGAATGTCACAGTTTCTCTTTGCTAACAATTCCTGTGTTATCTCTTAACTGGGATGGATTTAATAACTGGGAGACTGAGAGCCATTGAGATTTGATGACCCTTCAGTGGCCTCAAGTTATAGGACAAAAACTCATGAGGAAATACCTTCTAAGGACTTCGCCTTGGTGATTTCCGTAAATGACTCTACTTTAAATTGCTGGGATTGTGTAGCCTCCTACAATTACTGGTGTTCTAATTTCCTGGGACTAATTTTAGAGGGTGGAAGATTTTAATCATGGAAAGGAATTGTTTCCATTGTTCAGACTAACTTCAGAAGCTGAGTTGAAAGCAGGCGCCCGAGCAAGCCCCCAGAAAATTCCACAGGGACTGGGCGGGCCGGGCCTGTCTACTGCCTGAAAGAGAAAACCCTCTGAGAGCCAGGGCCTCTCCGATTCTCCCACTGAACTTCTGAATCTCATTTAACTTTCTTTGTGTCACCAAGGAGCCGTGGCGTCTAAAGATTTAGGAAAGATCCTCAGAATGAATTTCTATGCATCTCTCTTCCTCAGAGAACTCTCTAGAGATTGAAGAGGCCCCTGGTACCTTTTTGTGACCTTAGGATGCTGACCTTCTATATTCCTGTCAATGGAAAGGCCTTGAGGGGGCACGGGATGGGGGGGAGTTGGGAGGGGGGAACAGAGGGTTGTAGGGAGAGGGTGGCTCCCCTCTCGCTGTCCCCGTGGCTTAGAGCTTTGTTTACTTCTTTCCCTCTCCACGTCCCACTCCTCTGAGCAGGAGATGAGAGGAGACGCTGGCCAGGCTGTCCACAAAGCGGCTTTCTCCTTACGAAGTATTAAAGGGCTCTTCCCTGACACACCTGGAAACCCACTTCAAAGTCGGGCCTGCCCACGGCGGAACTTGTCAAGCCATGGGAACTTCCTGTGCCTTCTGCATGACCTCTTCAGAGGTAATTTCCTTCTTTCTATCCTGTTGGTATAGACTCCACCCCCTGGCCCCCCACCAACACGCATTAACCTAAGTTTAAGATTTAGGATTTATGGAAAAACAGCTATGCCATGTTATGATGGTCACTTCCTAAGGATGAGCAGGGAGTGTAAAGTGGGGGGACCAGACTGCCGGCGTCTCGTGGCTCCCTCGCCTACTTGGACTGTAGAGTCTTACCGTGCAGAAAATCACCGCTGGATGAAACCTCTCCATCTCATTTTCCTTGAGACGTTCCTCATGCTGCCTTCCCACCAGCAGGTCCCCCGTCTCTCCTTTGAAAACTCCCAGGGAACACCTTCGCTGGAAGAAAACGCTCAGCTCAATAGATTTGCAACACATACAAGGTAAAAAGAGAACAGGAAACAGCCTTAGTCAAATGGACGGTGAGCGGGAGACTAAGGAAGGATAGCAGCAGTGTTGATTCTTCATGCGTTTCCTAGTGCTTTGCTTTCTCCTGTTTCTCTAATTCTTCTGTGAGGAAAGTATATTTAGACCATTTGAAAAGAAGCCACATTAAAATGCATTGGCCCATGGTAGCCTAGGGAGTCTATTCTGCTGGGACAGCTCTGGGAGCAGAACCTCAGCATTTGGGGAAATGTTAGAGCTTTTCCAGGCTAGGATCCCACCTAATTTGAGCACATGTTTTCCTGCAAATCACTGGACAGTGTCATTCAGTAGCTGCTTGAATGCTCCGGGTTAAGGGGAGATCACTACCTTACCAGGCCACAGGTTCCCTCGTTGGGCAGATCTATTGTTAGAAACAAAAAGAAAAAAATCGGAGTGGGTTAAGGAAAGAAGAGAAGGATGTGGGGGGGAGGGAGGGATAGAAAACGTTGATACTTAGTTGAATTTAGCTTCCTGTAATATTTAGGTGTTCCACCTGGTTTCCCGTTTGAGCAGCACAGAACCAGCGGACACCTTCATAGGCTCGACAACCTTCCCTGTGTGTTCTACTACTCGGAACATCCTGAGTCCTTCAATTATTCATTGAACAGCATTGCTTTTAGTCTCTTACTATTAGAATTCTTTTCTAGACTAACTGTAGTTAAAGTTTTCTTTAAAAGTGCATTTCCTGAGGTGCCCGGGTGGCTTAGTCAGTGAAGTGGCTGCTTTTGGCTCAGGTCATGATCTCAGGGTCCCGGGATCAAGCCCCACGTGGGGCTCCCTGCTCAGTGGGGAGCCTGCTTTTGCCTCTCCCTCTGCCACTCCCCCTGCTTGTGCATTCTCTCTGTCAAATAAATAAATAAAATATTTTTTAAAAAGTGCATTTCCTCTATTGCATATAACACCCAAAAAATCAAATTATTTACATTTATCTTCATCTAAAAAGATAAAAATCAATACAAAATAAATAAGAGTACATTTCTCCGAATTGAGCATGGTGCCCTGAGGTGGGTGTAGGCAATGCACAGTATGACAGCACGAGTCCTTCTCTCCATCTGGATGCCAGACGTGTGGGTCTTCAGCTCAAGATGGCATTAGCATTTTTAGCACTTACGTCACACTATTAACTTATATTGAATTTGTGGTCATCTCAAACCCCTGCTCGAATAGCTGAAACGCATCGGCTGGGGGAGTCAGGACTGGGAAAAAAAAAGATGCAGTGTGTCTGCTGGAGATTCAGACATGCAGGCGTGTCAGGTAAAATCAGGGCTGCTAACATTGAAGCCTGGGCCCCAGGGGAGGACCAGCAGGGAGGAGGGCCCCCCAACAGTAAGGCCTGAGGGCTGAGGGAAGTGGGGTCCACGGCTGCAGTGTTCTGAGACCCCTTTCAGATCCAGAGCCCTTTGGATAGGTGTGTACTCTGGGGAAGGAAAGAGCAGGATCAAAACTAAGGGCTCTATATCTAGGGGCTCCAGATGCCGGCAGCGGGCCCTGCAAACACTGAGAACATCATCCCAGGCCTGTCATGCAGGGCAAGGCAGTGACACAGTGGGGCAGAGATCAGGCAGGTGTGCATAGAGTGGCAGGGACAGAGCAGCTGTCTCGAGAGGCAGAGCGGACTTGGAGAGAACTCTGGAGAAGGCGGCTGTCCCCAGAGTGTCGGAAGTGTGGACCAAACGGGGCAGGGCCCCAAGCAAGATCTGGTGGCGGAGCACAGCTGTGCGGGCGGGAACAGCGGTGGTAGCGTCCCAGTGTCCGGGGCCCTGGGCAGAGGCCACCATTTCCGTGTAACTGTTGGTGTTAGGGACGGCAGTCTGAGGGGAGCAGCAGAGTTAGTGCCTGGGACCAAGTGATGGTGGTGGTGTGCGTAACGGCCCACGGGGATGTTGAAGCAGGTAGAAGTGTCTTTGACTCCCAGGAAGACACCTAAAGGATGAAGGGACCTCAGACCAGGCAAAGACGAGCTCTTGCAAAGGGCAGATGAGAGCCATTGGCTCTGCAGGTGTGACTTCCGTAAGACAATCAAGGCTGGTGGGGTAGAAGCTCTTTCTTATATGGAGATGTTTTACTGATTTTTTTTTTTAAAGATTTTATTTATTTATTTGAGAGAGAGAAAGGAGAACCAGCCGGAGGGAAGGGCAGACAGACAGGGAGGAGCAGACTCTCGCTGAGCAGGGAGCCCGACTTGGGGCTCCATCTCAGGACCCCAGGATCATGACCTGAACTGAAGGCAGCCGCTTAACTGACTGAGCCACCCAGGTGCCCCCAGAAATGTTTTTAACTTACCACTCAGACATCGGTGTTAATGGAAAACTTGTACTAGAGTCGAATAGCCATTTAATGCTGTGACTTCTCGAGCCTAGTCCCATCCAAGATGGCCTGTGTGTCCAGACCTGTTGTGGTTTTGCTCACTGACCTGCCCTCAGTAGAGGCTGGACACCAGCTGGTGGCACAGCCCAGACCCCCAACACCCTGGAAGAGAAAGAGTCTCCTGAAGGCTTGGGGAACAGAACTGCTTGATGGCCAGGACAGACCAGAGGGACATTTCCACAGGAGGAAACCAGATTGGCTTTTCCTGGCTTAAACCTTAAGGGTTTGAGAATCAGGCCATTTTTACGAGTTTAATTTGAGACTTAGTCCTGTTGTTTCCAAATTGCTTAATTCAACTTTCGTAAGCATATTAATTAGGGAGGATTCTCCGGTGAGATTTTTCTGGGTCACTCTGATATTCTAATCTATAAAACCAGGCAGCTGATAGGATCACTGAAAAGATATCTGTTTAATAATACTATGATAATTTTGATGTCCCTTTGGAAACCCATTTGAATCATCAACCTATTTTTTTTCTTTCTTAATGAGAATGCACAGACATGCTGAAAAAAGTGATTTTACAAATATATCAAGTTGAGATCTGTTTTAAGATATGGGGGAAATCAGAGGGAGAGACGAACCTTGAGAGACAATGGACTCTGAGAAACAAACTGAGGGTTCTAGAGGGGAGGGTGGGTGGGGGAATGGGTTAGCCCGGTGATGGGTATTAAGGAGGGCACGTATTGAATGGAGCACTGGGTGTTATATACAAACAATGAATCATGGAACACTACATCAAAAACTAATGATGTAATGGGAAATGGTGATTAACATAACATAATAAAATAAAATAAAAAAAGATGCAAAACACTTCTATGTAACTTCTTCCAGAAAGGATTTCTAATGTATACGGTAGTGACTCGCTCTTTTTCCTAATCTGCCTCTTATGTTGTGCTCAATTTAGTATCCATTTTACCTCTGTTATTTTTGCATTTATTGGATTGCAACTGTCTTAATGAGATTTAAATGAAAAACCCTGAAGTACCCAGTCTAGGCGTCATATTGAGCCCACATGGCTCTCTAAAGCAGGTACCGTACCAGCGGGGATCCCTAGTTGTCACAGCTGTGAGTAGCCTCCTAATTGCTTGTGACATGGGGCTGCCTTTTGATCTTGACCATGTTCTCCTAATTATTTAATCTTTGACAACATGAAAACATGTTTAACCACATACCATGAATAAAGATCCAGCCTAACTTTTCTCCCGAGGCCTGGTTTAGACTGCATATTCTGAACGCTAACAGCGGCAAAGGCAAAAAAATGTTTATTTCCTGCGCTCCGTGGCAGGGGAACTTGGGGATGGGGGTGGGGGAGGCCTCCCCACTCCAGACTTCTGCTGATACATTTCCTGCTAGTTCTGAATTACTCCTGAAGCTGTCCCATTCTCAAGCAGCCTTATCAGGTTGATACTGACTGACAGTGTTTCCTGGCCTCGGGAAGGGAGAGAGCTCATTCTAGACAGACAAAGAGAGGAGGAATGGATTCTGCTCTTTCATACTTTATACCGTGCCCATCATTTCTACTTAGCAATATTAACATTTTATTTCATTTAAGTCACATGTCTGTTTCCTTCAATTGACTCTAAGCTGCTTGCTGCTAGGCCCTTATACTTTATGTATTTATCACCTATGCTTAATAAATATTTGCTGAGTCATTGAATGAATGAACAAATTAACAATGTCATGAATAAGTAAGTGAATATTAAATTATGTTTGTCTTTGAGGACTTACCTAACGTCATAAGTGTAAATACTGAGGCCTCCGAGTGAGAAATTCAGAAGAAAATCTGCAACTTTTCTTAATTGCAGCAAAAATATAGTCACATGAAGATTTCCCTCCTGGATCTGAGCAATACAGCCCAGTGTTCTGTAACTGATGAAGCCACTCCAAACTTTTTGCTATGGAGGATAGTGTAAGACACCAAAGTTCAGAATTTATACGTTCCTTAATAATTTACCACCTTTATTTACATATGCTGGAGGGTATTTGTCTCAGTTCCTGGACTATGGCTATTCACTAGCAGAAATGCTTACCAGGATGACAAGTTGCCCATGTATTATGCTTAATGCCTGTGCACCTTCTTTCCTTAGAGGACTGTCCGCTGTTGGGAGACTCTCCACTGAATCTCGACCAGGTCAGTTAGCATTGTTCCATGATGTAGGCTCTGTTGGAATTCTTGCCATTGGATCAGCAATCTCGCACATCTGGGGTTGCTAAATGTTTTCTGTGAAGAGCCAGGTAATAAATAGTTTAGGCTTTGTGGGCTTTGTGGGTCTCTATCACAATGCTCAACTCGGCCATTGCAGTGCAAAAGCCAACACAGACAGGACCTAAACAAGTGGGGATGGCTGCATGCCAATAAATCTGATATTTGAATTTCTTGCAATCTCCATGGCACCAGATATTAGTATTCTTTTGATTTTTTTCCCCAACCGCAGAAAAATGTAAAAACCATTCTCAGCTTGCGGGCTATAGTTTGCTCCCCCCTGTTATCCATGGAAAGTGTGTAATGTGGAACCAAAGTGCAGCCTGCTGGGGTCAGCATGATGACAGCAAGCACCGTGACTGGAGGAAACCATTTTTCCTGAAAGGATACCACCATTATTCATTGTGAACTTCCTTTCGGTTGGCTTCAGAGAAATTTCTGATGGTTCTTATGGCTGCTCCTGGCTTTAGCATTCTGCATTTGTCTGGGTTGCCCTGAGTCCATGGGGCGCTTCCACAGGCTCGAGCCGCAACTATGAGGTCCTAGTGTTCTCTCTGCACAAGACATATTTCTCGTCTTCTGTGTAAGAAAACGTGACTGGGGCACCTGGGTAGCTTAGTCGTTAAGTGTCTGCCTTCGGCTCAGGTCACGATCCCAGGGTCCTGGGATCGAGCCCCGCATTGGGCTCCCTGCTCAGCAGGGAGTCTGCTTCTCCCTCTCCCTTGGCGCCCTCCCCGACTCGTGCTCTCTCTCGCTCTCTCTCTAATAAATAAATGAAATCTTAAAAAAAGAAAACATCATGACCATCACGCCTACTGGTTTGGCTGCAGGGAGGAGAAGACTTTCTACTGGGAAAGAAGATCCCTAAGGCATCTATACCACTGAGAGGGGAACTTGAGCTATCAGAGAGGAATGGCACAGGGCAGGGCCAGCTGCCAGTCGGGACAGCATTCTCTTTGGCCTCCTTGGACTTCTCCGCACACGTGGGTTTCTCCAGTCTCTGTGTGGGGTCTCAAGTGTCCTGTTCTTAGTAGGAAGGGGAAGGGTATAAAGAGGTTCTTCTTTCTTCCCCTAACAGCATTTTTCTAACTATAAATAAGTGAATTCAACAATTCACACATTCTGAGGCTTTTACCCTTAGCCTAGATAAAAG